ATCGCTTGACAGATTAAAAAGCATCAATGGCATATATGTACATAAATCTTTAATAAATTTTGCTATTGCTGAAATGTTATTTTTAGAGTTCTAATTTCTTTGGATAAAACTAACTACTGCTACTTTTAATTTTTTTAATACACTTTCTATTTCTTTTTCTACATTAAGTATGTTTTTATTTTGCTCAAAAGGTTAGCTACTACTAAGAATACTACAATTTCTTCATCCATTACTTCTCTTACTACAAATTATCATTTCCATAACTATTATAATCTTGTTTTCCTAGCTGCTTTAGTTTTTAATGACAGTAAAGAAAGCGGTCAGCCCTTAAATAGAGTACAGAGTTGTAAGAAGAAAATACTTTTATAGATATCTACCTGTGATCTCTTCTGCCCAGAAACATACATATTTTGAAAATAGTATATTTCTCTCAATTCTTAGACGACGAAACTCTAGGTTATCATCTCAAGGTCATGCAATGCTTAAAAGTGGGGTTGTTTTTGAAAAAACTGCCTATTAAGAGTAAAAAAAGAACTACTTCAATGAAACTGTAGGCGCTTAAAAGTTCATTTAAGAAAATTTTCCTATATATATAATTTTTGTTATTATTTATATGATTTTCACTGCATAAAACCTCTAGTAATGGAAACTTAAATTAGTTGATTTTGCTTTCGATGTACAAACGAAAACAAAATAATTTCACTTTTTACCTTTTTACCGCTACTAGCGTTCATGTACAGACTTTTTCTAATCCCCAATCAAAAAGTAAATACTTTTTCCCCGTAACATTTTATAATTCGATTAAAAAGCCAAACAAAAGAAATTCCATAGTAATCTAAGAACAAAAGCAAAACCGCTTTTGGGTGTTGCAAGCAAAGGCCTAGAAAATTCGTTTTGCTTTGTTAAAAACACTAAAAGTGATTGAAGCTTTTTCGTATGAAAGAACAAAATAAAATATTATAAAATATAAAAAAGATGATAATGGTGAAGAAATAGCATAGAAAGCGTAAATGATTTTTTCTCATATATATATGTATATATATACAAATATACCTTTGTCTGTAATGTAAATATTTAACTGAAATAAAAGCATTTGTTGGTAGCACTAATACGAAAGTAAATACAAAAATATACTAGAAATTTACCAAATTAATGAAATGAATGTTTACGTGTGTAAAGAAAGAGAAGAATTTCAAATACAAGAATTCTTACAGAAGCATGAAGACATGTGACCTACTTAATTAAAGCGATGCGCATGCGCCACCGCGCATTATAATGCTAAAACGAGTGAGTACAACGCAGGGAGAAAGAAGCACAATACCTGCGGTGGAAGTAGGCATATGTGTTGGCGGTGAAATGGCCAACGTTGTAGTAGACTGCTATATAAATATACATATAAATAAATATATATATTCGTTCGTATGTACCTACGCATGGGTAACCTCATAATTCCAGTTTTTGTCATTGGGCTCAATGCTTTGTTTACTGTGTTTGCTTTTTCTTTGAAAAAAAAAAGGTCACCAAAGCTTAAAAACGCCGCATTTATTCTGATTTTTTTAGCAGAGAAGAAAGCTTCAATAATAACCCTGTAGGAATAACTCCATCGAAGAAATAGACTTAAATAAAAGAGATGAGCTGAGATGAGATGAGATGAGATGAGATGAGATAAGATGAGATGAGATGAGATGAGATGAGATGAGATGAGATGAGATGAGATGAGATGGGATAAGATGGGATAAGACGAGATGAGATGAGATCAGATCAGATCAAATGAGAGATGGGAAGGGATCAGATGAGATGAAAATGATAACATGAGATCAGATCAAATGAAATGATATAAAAAGATGTTTAAGTTGTTGTAAGTTAGCTTATACAAAGGTTCCATTCTTTTATTTTTGGTGCTCTGTCGACAGAAAGTCAATCTTCTATAACTTTATTCAAATCACATTAAGGTATACTGCATTTTTTATTTATCTTTTTGTCCGTATTTTTTCTAGCAATAAGTGAAATTATATCAGTCACTCAATCAATCGGCTACAGCTGCTAAGAGCGTGAGAAAAATCGCGCAGCAATATGTGCATGTATATGAATGCAATGTATTTGGTGCAACGGTAACTTTTGTGGTTGTTTGCCATTCATTCATTGCATTTATTGATTTTGCCTTATGAACTGTACAAGTTATGGTCTGAGCTAGCAGCAGCTTTCATATTTGGTATGTATTGCACATCAACACAAGTTTACGACTGTACGTACATCCGAACATTTATTCAAGAGATATTTGTGCAGTCATAATTGTGAATTTAATCTGGCTAGACATCCATTGAGTTGCACTGCACTAAGGCGCTACTTATGGATTTAATATGCCAGAAAGTAAACTCAATCAAATGTACATATAGAGAAAATTTTATATATACGTTCATATCAGGCTACTACTTTTCGATTAAATTTTCCAATTCAGTCAATGTTCAAAACTCATGTTATACGTATACTCATGTACAGATGCATAGATATAAGTTTGATAAGTACCTACTACCGAGAATGTGTACTCGGTACTTGTAAATGCGATCAATTGCATTTAAGTGTGTTTCAAAAGCCCTCAATGTATTTGGAGCGATTGTTAAAGTTTTCATTTCTCATTTACAAGAAGATGTTGTACATGAATGCAAATACACCTGCAGATTACTATGCAGGAAAATATGAAATATATTAAAGCAAATGCTCCTTATTTTATTTCAATTTTATTTAATTTAATTTTAAATATTTTTTTTTAGTTCTATTAGTTTTTATTTTATTTTATTTTATTTTATTTAATTTTTTTTATTTTATTTTATTTTATTTTTCTCCATTTTATTTTCTTTCCCTTATTTTTTTTATTATTATTTTTTATATTTTTATATTATTTTGATTTTTTAACTTTATCTTATTAATTTTTTTATTTAAATTTATTTATTTATTTGAATTTATTTTATTTTACTTTATTGTATTTTTTATTATTTTATTTACTTTAGTTTATGTTACTTTATTTTATTTATATTTTATTGTATTCCATTTTGTTTTATTTTAATTCTCTTATATTATTTCATTTTATTGTACTTAACTATTTCAATTTTAGATTATACCGGTTTTTTTAGCGCGCTGCTCGTTTAAAATGAACACGTTGTGGACCGTACGTCTATAAAATATAACATATTTATATCTAAACAATTTAATTTTTGCAAATGAATACGTAAGTAATTTTTTTAACCAAATATATTGTTATTTTATGGTAGTAAATTTTAGTTGTTGCTACACAATGAATTGTTGTCATTTTATTGCTCTTTATTTCTTTTTTTAAATTTACTTTAATAAGGAATTTCTTCAATATATTTCATGCTTCAAATATGCAGTTCTGCATATTTCTCTGCTGACTAATATTTTTCGCGATACTGATTTGCTGATTTCATATTTTTTCCTCATTGCTTTAAACATTTTTTCAATTTACCTTTTATACTCTCACACTTTAAGTTTATATATACATTTATTGTACAGATTTTGCACTGCTTTATCATTTCGTTTTTATTGGATTTGTAATTTTTTTTTTTTTTTTTTTTTTTTTTTTGTCAAATCACTTGCTGTTGTTATTGTGGCCACTGCTACTGTTGCTGCAATTTTTGCTGTATACACATATATATACATCGCCTGCTTTTGACAGCTTCATTTGCTCAATTTGTCTTTGTCCACTCATGCGGTTTTTTGTTGTTGTCATTGTTTTGGTATGATTGCATTTTTACAGTTGAGTTATTTAATAAAGCCAATTAAACAATCGCAATTAGTGTAATGCTGACAATTTTTTTTCGCCTTCGCCTACATTTACTTACACACACAAATAAATACATATGTATGTACATATAAAATTGCTAACAGGCGCGCAAGTTCGTTGCTGGGATGGAAAGTTAGTGTAGAGTTCTGATTTAACTTTCATTAAAATTGTAATTTAGTAAAAAAAAATAGGTATTTCTAAATAGAATTTTTATGTTAAAGAAATACTAAATATTTTTTACAAAGAAAATTTTAATATAAAAAATACATAATTACTGTTAAAGAAAATTTTAAAATTTAAGCAAAGTATATAATTATTTTCTATTACAAAAAGCATAAAATTCAATTAAACTTAAATAATTTGTGAGGCTCTTATTTTTCATAATTGATTTTTTTTTACAAATGAAATACTCAATTCTCTGCTAGATATGTATGAAAGCAGTGAATGAAATAGACTTTTAAGTAAATATATAAAGTTGTTTAGCAAAATGTTTGCCAAATAATGTTTACATTGATTCAAAACAAAACAAAAATTAAAATAACACAAATTTAATTAACTTAGCTTGAACCATACTTTTTCAAATTTCCTTTGTTTATTTATTTTTTTTTAAGCAAAATGCTTGTTTAACTTTTTTAACTATTTGGGCTTTACATTTTTTACAAAAGTTTTTTGCATATATTATATTTTTTACAACTAACTTGTTTTTCATTTTCACTTCAATTTTATTTCTATGTTTGCTTTGATTATTTAAGCGTAATGGTTTGGTATTATTAATAAGAAAAACTAATTTCAATTATTTTTTGATAACGTATTACCGTAAAAGCAAAATGACTTTACGTGTTACCTTTTTATTTCCTATTTCCACTTTTTCTTTTTTCAAAATAAATTTTAGTAATTTTTTCAGCTAAAATTTCTGCGTTTTATGTCCATGAAATACTAACTTGGTTCCAAAAGAATGCTTACCAATCTGGTCAGAGTGATGAGTTGAGTTGATTGGACAACGGACGCTGTTTGAACGCACACTATTCCTAGTTTCTGAGAAATTTCAACTAAACTTGGTGCAGAGAAGTTACTGGCATATTTAAACTTAAATTACTAATAATTAATAAGATCTATTTTTCCTAGTTGCAATTTGCATAATAAATTTCAATAAAAGTAAAAAAAAAAAACCTTTAAAAGCATTAAATTTTATGAACTATACCATACATATGTAAATGACCGTAGACACATGCCTTTAGAAGAGATACCGGCGCACATGATTGTCCAAGTACTCAATCACTTGTTAAATTATGAAAGAAATTTTAAGAAACTCGATAGGTCGCAGAAGTTGTAAGTTATCTGCATCATCGTTTTGCTCCTTCTACCAAAAAAACGCTACTGTACATTAAAATGTGGACACTTTCGGAGCTGGCACTTTCTGACGCAACATTATGACAAATTTTTTACTTAGACTTACACTTGCATCCATATAAAGACCAGCTAACGAAACAATATGCTGTCACATGGCACACAACACGAATAAATATGGTTTTGTTTTGTTTTGGTTTGAGAATTTTTCCCGCTTAGTAATCTCTCGCCTTGGAAAGATCGTATGTTTTGTTACCGTTGGTCTTTTTTGTTTGAAGCTACGTGAAAGACTGTTTTTATGCGAATAAAAATTTAACTTTGAAGCACTTTAAAATCAATATTCATGAAATTGTGGCTTAGATAACGTCCAATAAGAGTCAAAAAGTCAAACGGAGAAGCTTGCACGAGGCGGTCATTTGAATGATGTAGGCTCTCACTTTTATGGCCATAATTTATTTATATTAAAAAAAAAAAACGATTTTTATAAAAAAAAATATATTTGAAAATCAATTTATTTACCTTTCAAGCCCGCAAAATAAATAATCATAGATTTGGCATGGTCGTGGAAGGTGGAATCACTTCAACATATTGAAAAAATATTACGCAGATATTAGATCTTGAATGTAATTGTTGCGTGCGACTCACTTCCATGTGAATCCTTCAAGTAAAAGCTGTAAAAAATATTAAGAGCTAAACAGCTCAATAAGTAACAAGAACTATCTAGTATTCAACACAAAATAACTCCTGCCAACAAGTGCTTCTTTGGAATGAACAACTGTCCTTTCTCGTCTCTAATAATTGGTTGAATGTCCCGTCCTACTTTAACGAATAAAACCATTGACGAACTCCACACCCAACGGGTCTGAACTACAAATGTTCAATGTTAAGACTAGCTAGATGATTTTTTTTCGGATGAAAAAATATACTCCGATACTTAAAGTATTATATGCAGTACCCGTGGATGCAGAGGTAGAGATAGACTTCTACTAACGAATCAAACGAATGGCGCACGGTTACGGTGAATACGTCAATGAAGATGAAGAAGAACTTTTATGGTTTTTCAATGTAAGGAACAATGTTCTGTTCGCTCTATACTTGAACCAATCGACCGACCGAATCGACTTACAAACGAACTATAAGCGTATATTTTGAATCTTGTTACTAAATTTCATTTTTTGCAAAGTTACGCATTAAACAATCAACACGTACATAAAGGGCGGACTTAGAAATGTAACCAGCTGTATCCACCAGAGTTAATTATGACCCTCAATTATCGACTCGGTGCTGTCCGTAGGAATGAGATCTCTATTATACCACTACGTGGAAATTCGTTCAGAAGAATTTAGTCTGAAAATTTTTTTAAATAAAGCTGGTGCAAGGTCAGCTGGTCCATGATCAGCCCCAGAGGCTCACTTACGGTAAATGGGCGCAAGCAAAGTTGGAGGAAGATCTATTTTTTTTATCAAAAAATTGTCTTCGGCGACTAAGCTCGTTTCTGGCTGATGAAGTTTGGAGTGCACTAAACACATTTCAAAAACTATAAATATATTTTTAAAAAGCCACTTTTTAATGTGGACTATAAGTCGTCGGCACCATTGGGTTGTACTTTTTTAAAGACGACAAAGGCCGAAAGCTTACTATATAGACCGACGCTAACGCAAGTTTATTTTCAGCTTTGTCCGAAATAAAAGAACTGAATTTGGCTGACATGCAGTTTTAACAAGACGGTGCACCATGCCACACAGCACGCGAAAAAAAAACTCTATTGAAAAGCGTGTTCGATGAGTATTTTATTTAACATTTCCAGTCGCCCAACTGGAGGACTAGCTCAATTATACTTACGCCTCTGGGATATCTTTGAGTGAATTAATTAGTTTAAGGCATTTGTCTATGGCGATGAGGGCACAACGATGGAATTACTTTAAACCAATATTGAAATATTTTTTCATAAGATACCAACCAACCATTTGAGGCTCAGATGTGGCCAACAAATAAGTGAAATAATTATATAAATTAAATAATTATATAAATTATCAATCTTTCTATCGAATGAAATACAGATACAACATTTTTAATATTCAAGAAGCCATAAAAGTTCTTACCAAACTAGTGACCAACCTTAGTCTGAGGACCACTTAAAGTAACAAAAAGTTTCTTTATGCATCTCTAGGAATAAAAAATAATTCAATAAAATCTGTACAGCCGTTAAGAAGGAGTAAGCGCATAGAAGATTTCTATGTTTAAAGATAAATTAAACTTTTTTTACTGTAAATAAATTGTTTTCTATTTATAAGAGTTGCCGTTCAATATTTATATAAATTTAAAGAAAAAATTATAAACATATAAATCTTCAATTTCACTAAAAAAAATCACCAAATAATAAATAAAATTCACCAGCGTACATACTTTTCAAGCGTACTATACAAGTGCTGTCACATATTAATCATTTATTTATTATTATTATTAATATTATGAGTATTTATTTCACTCACTCCACTTGCTCACCCACAAAGCCAAAGACAGCCGAGTCTTCCTACCAGACGATGCTCATCAATTTAATATCTATAGAAATTCATTGATTTTCTTATTTGTTTCGTTTAATTATATATTTATTATTAATTTTTTTCCTTGCTTGAGTCACACTTTCGCTTTCGCCCGCTGGGCTATTGAATTCATTTAGTGAATCACGAAATTCATTTTGAATTTGACTAAATGTAACTTTTATCTGCGACGCTACGTGTGCGTCTGGCAGTTAGTCAATATGAATATATATGTACATATATATAATATATATAGACGTACAGTAGACATAAATACATGCATACAATATTTAGCTTATAAAAGAAGCGACAGATTACTTCTGAGTGAGTCGAATTGGCCTTTCTCGTCAATTTTCTTTTTTCGATAGTTTTTCTTTGTATTTTGGTTCGCCTGCTTCCAACAGCTTTTATTATGACAATTTCACTTTCATTACCGGTCATTTGAGCAGCAATTGAAAGTTTATGGGTGGTTTTTATTATTATCTTTTTTTTTATTTTTTATAAATTATATTTATGTTGTAGGAAAGAGTTATGACAGTTTCGATTGTAAAGTTCAAGTTAAAAAAAAATTAATTTTATATTAAAAACGACTTAAATTGCTGCTATTTAGTTAAAATGCTAATTGTTATTTTCTTTTTCTTGTAATTCAAACGCCGCTTAATTTCTAACTGCGAGTCCGCAAGCGTGTTATTATCTTAGCATATCTTGAGCTTTTCTATCTTTTTTGGCTCATCACTCATCAGTGATGGTTAAGCCAAACTTTGAATGCTTGCGGCTGCTTACTTTCATTGCCGTTAAACAAATTTTCTCTTTGTGTGTTGTTTTCTTTTTTTTTCGCATTTTGTTCTTCTATCAATATAAAATTTTTTGGAATTTTTTTCGCATTATTTTTTTAATTTTTTTTTCTTGCTTTGCTGATCTTTCACCTTGATTTCAACATTTACAATTTTGTATACGCTTAACTTATTCATCGATTCATAACTTGTGTTTAGTTAAATTTCTCAGAAAGAATGTCTCATCAGTGTTTGACCCAAATTTAGTGACTGCACCTTCCTGGTTAGAGAAGATGTTTGAATTTAATGAAGGTGTCAGTTGTAAAATCAACTCGGTTAAATTAATTATGAATTGCTGAGGGACTTTTGCGTGAATGAATTTAAGATTTGTTTTGAAATCTAACACCGAGTCACTCCTACTAATTGCTGACGAACTTTGGACTGAAGAGGTTTAATTCCTCTCTCGGCAAACAAAGACAAATCTCTACAAGCGCCGTCCATTCTCGTGTCATCGGAGATATCTAATTTATAAGGTTTCACCAATTTCATGAATAAAAGAAAACATTTTTTCGCTATTTCTAGTACCAGCAGACTCTTTTGTATATTTCGGGGTATTTTGAGGATTGGCAAATCTGATTATGGAAAGTGCAGATCTTATTATAGGAAGAGCTCGATATAACATAGTTTGCGCGAAATGCCTAGGATTTCTGCCGTGAAAGCGAAATATTTGAAAAAGGGTGAGAGAGACAGAGAGAGAGAGAGATGTAGAAGAAGATACAGTGAGAATGTTATCCGTTTGCTTTCGGAAAATGCTTGTGCAATATATATAAAAAAGAGATGGAGTATAATCACATGAAATACATATAGCTATACTCTTCAGTATTAGCCGTGCTGTGTGAACCCTTACGACTCATTTCAAACATATGCTTGTTTGAAGCTCCGAACGTCGAAGTTTTTGGGTGAAAAACGAATTGGAAATGCATAAATAGTATCTTTAGAAACCTTTATTTCATTTATTATTGAGTAAATGATTTAACAAAGCTTACAGACTAGTTGTATAAGTTAGTATCTACAAAAATTATTTATTGAAAAGATTCAATAGGAGAATTCACGGGAATGCTAAATCAATATCAATGCTTCTAGGGATCCTATTAAATTCAGAGAGTGCTCAAATAATAAAATCGTTGCAATGAGAATTTACTTTAATTACTTCTAAATAAAAATGATAATGAGAGCGCACAGCTCTTTTGAGGAACATTTAGGCTGATTTGCTCAAGCAGCTCTGGGCAATTCAGTAAGTCATTGCTTATGGCATACTATACATAAATATTTAGTAATAACTGGATAGAACGTCGAAGAAAAGGGGCTTATGGTTCATCAGGAAGTATAAAAAGGTATGGAATCAGAGAAATTAAGCAAAGTGGGAGTAAAACGAATAAACCTACATGCGACGGTTTCAAGTTTGAAAGAATATGTTGAATACATAAGTTTCAAAATAATAGCTCCAGTTTTGAACAAAATCACCATCATTAAGCAGCTAGAAAACAAGCTTATCCTTAACTTTAGGTATAATAAAGTTAATGTGATTAGTAGTAGTAAATCGGCCGCCAATCTTACAATAAGTTG